GCAAATCTAAAAAGTCGGAAAGATTAATTGTTGCTCTCTTCAAAGAAATACTACAAAACAGAAGTAGTGTGTAGTGACTCACTTTTATCACGAGAACACGATTGGTTTAATGAGAAAAATTATTATTATAACCAACTGTACCAGTGCTTGTTTTAATGTGCTTTTGTTAAACTGTACTAATTACAGCCATTTTGTGCTTTCATTACCTTCCATCATTGTTCCGCAGTTTTCGGCTTTGTCAACGCGTACTCCGTTCACCTGCTTTCGCTTGTACCATTTCTTGGTACGATTTTGGTATTCGTTCGATATCACGAGATCGCCAATTGAATAAACTTGATTCCAATCCGCCTTCTGAGTTATTTGACACGCGTCTTCTTGTAGTGACGTTCATAGTCAATCTCGACTCGAAACCACGCTACAAGTGCAACTAAAAGAACATGATTTTAAATTAAGATAAATAATGGGCTTGTCATTGATCCAAATGGTAGACATGGCACACAGAAATGAATAGGTTGCAAAGAATAGCTAAATATTTGAAGAGAGACGACTTCATTGTCGTATAGAAGGTATACAGGTGCAGTTTTCTGACTCATACTCATACAAACACACATACATAAAAGGCCCTACATTGTCCACTGACCCTCATATGCCTCTATTAGTTGGATCGGGATTGTTCAAGTCCCGATGATTGGTGGACACTCGTACAGTAGTTAGTTCAGGGATAGTATGGTGATTAACGATTAGAGCTATTACTGTTATTCCCCAGTGTCCATAATTTTCCGACTATCATGTACTACCTGTAGCTGATGAAAAGTTTTTATTACGTACTTGTGACTGAGCAATGCAATTGTCACTCATGAAGTTGCATGCTGTTGTAGTGACTTATTTTTATCACGAGAACACGATTGATTTAATGAAAACAATTATTATTATAACAGGTTGTACCAGTGACTGTTTAATGTGCTCTTTGTTTAACTGTGTTAAAAACATCCATTATACTTACTTCGATCGTGACCTCGCGCGAATCCGGTTACGCTCAGTAACCAAGCTTGTATCCTGGCACGATCTCGGTATTATTTCGATACCACGAAATCGCCAGCAAATATATCTCGACTTGGTTCATTAGCTGCTTTCTGATACTTCGCTTCCGGGGTACTTTATGGATATCCTGACACGCGTTCTTTTGTAGCGGTGTTCATAGTCAATCGCGACTCGACACCACGCTACACTATAATCATCTGTCTAATTTTAGTCATGAGAATGAGTGAAGAGGTAGGACATATTTTGTTCTAAATTTTCAATATAGGCTATCAGCTTACCATTTGCGATAACCATCATCAAACCAATCAGAATACATTTCAGAGCTGAAAATTTTAGGTAGATTTTCAATCCATGTCACTCAGGTTTAGCATAATGTGTAAACGGAGTGTTTAGTTTCAGTACATAAAATAGAAAGGGGTTTGACAGTAATCAGCACAGAAATCAAAATTACCAACGTGTGTGCACGTCAGAAGAGGAACTCAAAGAATTTAACTGACTATTAACTGTTGTCGTGAATATCATTATTTTCGCTGGATTTTGTTTCTATTTTACTCAGACATCGCACCTGTTTGTTTGTAGTTTTAACCTCGGATATTTTCGGTGTAACACTATTTTTGATCGTGTTTTCCTTCAGACGTTTATGTCTTCGTGATCCATTCGATCACCAGGAGAGAGAGAAAGGGTGAGAGTAAGCAACCTTGCCTGACACCGGTCTTTACTTCAAACGAATTTGTCAACTGTCTTCCATGCACAATTTTGCAGTTTAATCCATTATGGAAATTCCGTATGATATTGACTATCTTCTGAGGCACGCCGTAGTGTCGAAGAGACTTCCATAGTGTTGTTCCGTCGACGCTATCAAATGCTTACCCGTATTCAATGAAGTTGATATAGAGTGATGAATTCTATTCACTTGATTGTTCCACAATGATCCATAGTGTTGCGATTTAGTTGATACACGATCGGTTCTTACGGAATCCGAGAAACGGTGATGTCAATATTAAAAGAAATAAAAATAAAAACTACTTTTGAGATCTTTATTTATCGCTCAAACCGTCTGTAGCTCTAGTGATTCTCTTTCAGTAATTATGATTTTGTCTTGACGAAAATTAGCCGATAACCGAAAGTCTTATGACTAATGGGCGATTATGAACATCTCTATCATAGAAATCAAGTCGCAGTATGTTCAGTACCTTCACCTGACAGTGACTATCTACAAAAGATAAAAGGCACCCCAAAAAGAACATCCAAGTTAGGTGATTAGGAGTAATGGAATTCCGCATGCTATCGAGTAATACCCTGAACTGAGCAACTTATGCCCTAGCAGTCAGGTATGGACCACTATTTAAATCAGAAAGCACTGTGCGAGCGCAGACGAAGGTAAACAATTGAAATTCAAATCGCTCATGGAATAATTCACAAAGTAGTCATTCTTATATACGAACGTTAAATCAAGAAACCCAACTCAGTCAGAGGAGTGAATACAAAATGCTTGGAAATTCAACCGATGAAAACCACAAACAGTGAGAACGAAGCCCCATCAGTAAACTTTTCGCAGGAAGAGACCGAATAGGCATGTACAAAATCGTAGATTTTCCTCGTTCTACTGGAGCAGTACCTCCGCACTTCGAACTAAATCCTCACTTCTTCTCAGAAGCATTAGCTGATCCATATGATTCTTAGTTAATGAGTTATTCTTATTTACTTATGTCTAAGTGTATTCATAACAAAAGTCGAGTAATGTGAATTTAAAATGATGAAGGTTTTGTCGGGATTTAGGCGCAAGATCATGAGTTCAATTTGCTAGATTTCCGAATTTCATTTGCACGTGAAGTTAACTGGTTTTGGAGGTGATATTACAGAACTTGGGATCTAATGATACGGCCTGCATTTGGATTAACGAAATGTAATACAAGTGTGATTATATACGTACGTTTCGGGATGTTCTGGAAACTTCCTAGTTGCGTGTGTAGTGGCATTAGGCCCTAAACACACAATCCTCGAAACTCAACACGAGACAAGTGGGAAAACAGATATTCAATATTTGCTGCGGAGAAAAACCCAACGATGAAGAAGGCAGGAAGAGGGAATTGAAGTCATTCGAATCGATCGGACGGCATGGCTCGGCCTTCCAGGCGTGGTCACCCTTGAGTGCTGTCTTCTATCTTTTATTCATATTACATATATATTGTTCTATCTCTAGCCTAAGTTTTTTCTTCATCATATATGGGTGATTATTACGAGGAAATGAGTTGGTGTAGACGATTATATGACTTCTACGTAGGATCTTATATATTGGGCAGTTACATCATGATAAATCTACAGTTTTATGATTAAGTCTATTATTAGAGTAGTACTAATAACGAAGTAGACCATAATTCTACACGTGTACGTGTCGCAATGTTTCCAAGTGTTTACGCTTGGCTTTTTGTGATTGTGTTTCAGTAACACTAGCAAAATAATTTACGTTCATCTAACTATAGTTCAAACAATGAGTAACTTCTCAGAGATATGTTGCGTTTTAGTGCAACTAGTCGAGATCTAATAGCATCGATATAATTAAGTGCCTGATATTTGAGTGTTTTTCCATTGGAATGAATTTGGCTTCTCTTTAGTGCCTTCCAGAAACGTCTAGAATAATCAGTACTTTCGAAAAAATAGATCTAACACTTCACTAATGCACTTATGACGGTGTGACATCGAAACCCATCGTCGTGGGTTCCTTGCATTTCTTCAACAGGCATAAAATTCTCATTTAAACATTAAAAACACAAAGTGCAGCTAAGGGATCTCTTTTCAACAGATTTGGTATCAAGCTGTACAATTGTATGTATATGAAAAATTGTGCAGCTTGATAATAAATTCGTTGAAAAGAGATTCCCTTGATTAAGATTTCTAATGGTCAAGTATTAGTCTATCGAAATGTCATATTATGAACATTTTTTCTCCTTTGATTCAGGGATCGTACTTCCGCTGTAACAATACGCTTCCGATCGTCATCTCAGAACGTGATGTCGGGATGTAGCAGAGTTCAACTTAACTCTCTAACCTATTTGAAGGCTAATCGACGCGATCATCTCAGATTTGTTCCTACCACTGTTTAAAACGTATGCTCGGCCTTACATTCAAGTCCACAATAATCTTATACTCTCACTTTAAAAGGCTTAAATCCCATGGGTCAAGTACAGGGACAGGCGACCAGTAGGTGATAGGGCTATAACATGAAAAGACAGGCTGCAACAATTTGAATTAACCTCGTTGAGCTGTAGGAGAATATGAGGCGGTTCAATAATGGCATTCAGCAAATTAAGTTCTTCAACCCCTACCAACACCAACATACTGGCAGAACATGACCACCACGCCGCTCGGGGCGGTCCATGACAGTCTACACATCTCAGAACGAAAACTGGGGTACGCACTCACCTTTTCTTACCAAGATTCGCCCCTACTTGGAATGCTCTACAAGTCGAAGTGACCCAACCCCCTCATTCGACAGCTTCAAGAGGAGAATCGACAAATAAGTGCTCATCCATGGATTACTGTCACTCTTAGACCATCCGTGCCTGATACACATCTCATAAATTAAGATTGTTATCACTGTCACACACCAGTAACTACTTTCCATATCCCTTATTATCATCCACATTCTGTTCTTACGCTTCGATCTTCTTACACTACCCTCAAAACCAACGAATTGACCTTTTTATCTGTTTACTTGCTTATTGGAAGAATCACATCCTCTTAGTGTTCGAGTTTTGATTTTATTATCTTCTACGTTGCAACCGATAGATCAACTTCCTGGTAATTTGATAGCTACTGGTATCTTGAATCCTTGCACAAAAAACTACCAAACTGACGAAAATTAGTGTAGTTTAGCAGCGAGACTACTACTCACTGAACAAAATCAAATGCTTGGAACTGTACCGAAACAACAAGAACCGAGCTCAAAGAAATTGGACCTTGGAATGTTGCAGTCAACATGAAGGCTACGTTACTTTGTTCTGTGTTTAAAAGGTTAGTCTATACATTTCCCCAAAATACCAGTTCATCCTACTGAAAAAATGTTTCTGTGGTGAGGAAAGTATAACATAATCCATCGGTCGGTCTCATAACCGTATATTCGTGACAGCCGGAAGTCTTTTGAAAAACAGACGTGAAACACATGAAACTAACACCTAATGTATAAGTACTTCTACAACCGTATTAATTGTGTAGATGGTAATTACCATAAAATGCTGCACAATTATTCTCACGCGTGGATTTTTCTCATAAATCACTTTTGTATCTTTACTAGACAGAATTTTCAAAACTTATACGGACTACCGCTTTACCACCAGGTACTGTTTATTACCAATCCCTTCTGCATCAACACTTAACGTACGTCCTATGACAGCCACAAATTTTTGTACTGTAGTGGATGTTTCACAGATCAGAATATTCAGTAAACACTGGTCCTTCAAAATTGATACTTCCTAATCTCCATATTGTAGGAAAATCCTGGGGAATTTTGGGGTTCTCCTCAAAATCACACAAAAATCCATAAGTTTCTACAAAGCTGGGTGAAATATGGGAGAAAATTCTTTAAAATTTCCTAGATATCTGTTAGGTTTTAATGGTAACAAGATTTGGGTTTTGAGATTTGTGATTTTGACTTTTAACTTGGCACATTTGAGAAGTTATCGTGAGAATAAGATCTTTGAAGCTTCAAGCGATAACGCTAAGCCTCCATTTTGTGGTCTCAACAATTAACCAAATCATTTGGTTTATCTTTAGTAATAACATCAGTTTTCGTCATGTTACGTCAGCGCAAACCAATGTAAACGTTTTTTAGGTTTTTTGATAGAATTTATAATGGACTGGCGACGTAAGATCAGGCTTTGAAGCAGAAATGCTACCTAATTGAGTCGGTCTTAAATTTCATAATTCATGAAGATAATTTATATTCGTCGAACTTGTCACAACACGCCGAGACTAAAGCAATTAAAAGCAAAGATGGAAAATGATGCACAATGGAAGTAATAAACCAAGCTTAAAGTATAAAGCTGGAAAAGAACCAACTTTGTAGGGGAGTCAAATGTGTGGAACGATACTATATTCAGGACCTGAGAGAAAATAAGACAGCAGAACGATATTTATTCGCAAATCAAAACACATTAAAAACTATGTAGAAGCAGTAATGTAGTTTGCATAACACTTATTTGTAAAGTGTATATATTGTGCGATTTGTTCATTTTTCTCTTTAAAATGGTAATATATTGGTTTGTATTTCTATGTTCTTCACTTCTATATTCCTTTTTAGCTTGTGCAACAACTTTAAATCTATGTTCTAATTCATTATAATAATGGCATCACCAACATTGATACTCGATATGGGTGGTGGATCACTAAAAATTGGATTTTCTACAGATCCTCATCCCAAGTAATTTTTTGCTTTTCCCGTAGAATTGTCCTTATTTTCCAAAAGAATTATCGATAATTCCATTTTTAAATCGAAAACGCTTGGTGGTCGTACATTCGTTGGAAATGAAATAGAACAATGCAATAATCTGTCCAGTTTATTTTGTGTCATGCCATTCAAAAAAGTGAGTATTGTGACGTTCCTGTTAGTCAAATGCTTCATTTACTCCCCTAGTTAACCTTTTTTTCTATTAAGCTTAAAGTGCTACCATTCGTTCATATAACTAGTTGCCTAATAGTAGATTTTCCATAGGCATACGAATCCCAGACCCAAAGGTGTAACCGTTTACTCCCACCACTCGCTCGTAAACTATAAGCTGACGTCACTTAGTTTGATTTGTTCATCCTAGTGTTATTTCTGCCCGTTATGCAACGAATGTGGTTTTATGCCTATATTATGACAAACTATTTATTTATTTATTTGAACACACAGATTTTGGTACAAGGGAGCACCAGACATATGCGCCACACAATTCTCACTTGATTTGTGTGAGGGCTATGATGCTCCTCGGGTGGCCAAACCGAAGCAGGTGGTTTTCTAAGGGGGTCACGCCAAGAGCCTTCGACCTAAAGATCTGACCCACAAGGCAGTGGAGCATCATAAGAAGATGCAGTCTCATGGTAGCCGGTGACCAACGATTGGTTCATATGCCATGTGTTCCCTCAGGATACAGGAGCCTGTGTGCACCATCGGTTTAGAATCAGGATTTTCCAACTCCCCTAGGTGGACTCGATGTCCATCAACCCGGTCAAAGCGCCGGACATTCGCTTTTCTTCGTCTCAATTTCGTAAACCTACTAGTATACATAACATCAACACTAATCACGTCTGACAAGATCCGGACATGGATTCAGAGGCCAGTCGGCTTTTATCAACTTACGTCTTTTGTGGTGTAAGCGAAATGTCCGTCTACCAGTCAGAAGGGTGTGTATACTACGCAGTAGTTTTCTCGGTACTGCTTTATGGTTGTGTAACAGCCTTTAAACATGGGGGATATTGGTAGGTTATTAGTATTTGCTTACTGATGTTTTTGATACATTACTCTGATATCGTGAGACAATTAAATGAGCGGTGTTGGGCTTAGGCATAGGGTACTAGGCAAGTCCACAAATCGGTTTATGAAGTTATGAATCTTTATTGACTAAGATGGTTGGTACGTGTATTACGTATACCGATTCACTATCTACCTCAGTGCGCAATGTTAGCCGGTGTAGGAGTGGGTTGGTAGAAAGCTAGAGACCCTTGAACCAAGTTAGCATCAACCCATGAAGTAATTGACTACTAATTTGAGCTATCCTTGTAGGTGACTACCTGGACGGGGTTCGCTTGATCACCATAACAAATGGTTGGGGATTTTTAGTGAAAAGATTCGAGGTCATTAGCAGTTGCACAGATGCACCTACTCTTTGTCTTCATTTCAAGTTTAAAGGCTATTCTATACCTTTTATTCCATGAATTCATTCTTCTCGAAATTTGTCCGTCTAATCTTTCCTATTATCGCCGCCTCTAATTCTGCAGCAGTTGCCTTAATAATTACACTTCAATGTGCTAATATTGTTTGAGAAACTTGACAAACTCATATTTTTGCCAGTCTCTACGTTGGTTTTCACTGATTAAACAGTGATAGTACCAAAAAAGTGGTTATTAGTTCCAAAACCTCCTAAACAAATAGTAGTTTTATATCAACAGACATTGAATCATTTAGTTTTGCATGTGAGTTTTACAATCACCATATATGTACAGAATCCACTTATATCTGGTCTTATGATGTAGAGATAGTTCATAAACCTCTTGTTGGTTTCCATCAAGTTAATCTTAAGTAACTCTTATTAGTAGTTTTTTACTGCTCTTCGTCATTTAAAACAATAAATCTGTTTTCATCAGATATACTTCAAATAAATAGTTATATGGTGACTTAAATTTCACCATTATGGCCGGTAAATGGTTTAAAAGTCAATCGGTCTATCTTATTAGAAAATACCTTTGCTACAATATATATCATAATGCTAAAATCAGCCGTAGATCAAAATATATTTCACTTTCATCATTTGATAAACAAAAGTGAGTAAAATTCCCGTGCTTTTATAACTGTATTTGACTTTCATAGTTGCTCTTGTGTTTATTTATAAAGCAATTTTATGTTTTTACATAGATATACATATTTGTTTTAACTAAATTTCGCGTTTATTTTCCAGTGTAATTGAACATCGATTTTACGTTCCCCTATGATCACAAGTTGGTTCGCGCTCCATTCACCTATTTAGTTATGGGTGTGGACAACGTCTCTGTAAAACTAGGTTATAATTATTACAAGAGTCGCTCATTGTTTTCCATCATTATCAAAAGCTACACAGTAGCATATTTATCATTTATAAAGGATTTGACGTAATCTATATCTTTTTTAGAAGAATCCCCATTCATTAAATATATACTTATACAGAACATTTCTTTATTTTTAGGGCTATATTAACAACTGGGAGGTTCAATGTCAAATTTTGGACACAACTCTTAAAAGCATAGTTAAAACAAACTCTGTAGGTAATTTTTATCCTCTTATTATGTTTTTTCCAGCAAAATTCTTTATCCGATCATAATCTAATTGTTACTGAGCCGTATTTTAACTTTTCATCAACTAAAGAAGCTATGAATGAAATCTTTTTTGAAGATTATCAAGTGGCTGGTTTGATTCGCACAAATCGTAAATGCTAGTCCGATGTTATATACATCTAACTAATTTTTAGCTGCATTTTTAAGCGCTTACAAATATAGAAGTGAATCAGCTCAACGTCTTTCAAGATATTGTATAGTTATTGACTCTGGATACTCATTTACGCACATTGTGCCCATGGCTGATGGATTTGTTATGAAAGATTTCGTCATACGGTATTTACCTTTTCAATGAGGATTTCTATTGTCTTTCTTAAAAAACTTATTTTTAATTGTCTATTCAAGGCTAACAGTAGGTGGGAAAATTCTTACAAATCGTTTGATTGAAGCTGTATCCTATAGGTAAGTTTTATAATTGACTATGACTATAATTTTCTCTCCATAGACATTTGGATGTTCGAAGTGAGATATATATAATGAATCAGTGCAAAGAAGATGTATGTTATGTATCTACTGACTTTTGGCAAGATATGAAGATTTCTCGGTGAGTCTTTTTAAAATGTTGTCGTTTGTAATGTGGTACCGTATGCTTTATTTTTAGGAATAGCGGGGATTTCGCTTCTCGTCAATTATTGTATTTTTAGTACCATGCACCATCTTTACATGATTCTTATTTCAAAGTGATCACTTCCACATTAATTAAAAGGTTAAAGTATAAGACATTTCTATGTGTACAGCTAACCCCAAAAGTCCTCATTGTGCACAGGTATTGTAAAGCTCTCCGTGCTTAGTCACCACAACCTTCTGAGTATTATATTCATTTGTTAGTATGATCATTTATTTAATACCATAAACCCGTAGCATGTTTGGTGAAAATTATTAAAAAGTTTGAGGATATATTTACTCCATATGAACCATAGAACAGAAAGCAATTAAACTGTACTACTATTTGAGAACATCTCTCAATTCTCTGATTATATTTTGAGGTTTTCGGTCCGATTCTTCACGTTGACGAAGTGGAGTTTAATCTACTTTGTTTTTTTCCTTCCTCACTAAAGGGAAACGAAACATTGTTTGACTTCATGCTTCCCAAGTGTTGTGTTTTTGTGTGATCTATTACATCATTTCGTTTTTCATTTAATTTTGTTTTATCATATGTTGTTGATTAATATATTGAATAATAATCCCTTGTTCTATAGATAGATAGCTACACACCTACTTATTTTTGTTGAGTGCTACCAAACTATCAAACAATATTTGTTAGTAGGTTTTTCGTCTATTTTTACTTTTTTTACATAGATCGAACCAAAAATCAAACAGCATTTTAAGAGAATATGTACTACCAAACTATGTCGATGTACACCGTGGATATGTTCGTGATCCGAATGCGGTGGCTTCTGAAAATAGTGGTAACGATAAATCAGAACAACGGGCTTCCAATCTGTCACAGCAAGGATATGTATTACGTTTGAATAATGAGCGTTTTACAGTTCCTGAATTGATTTTCCATCCATCTGATGTGGGCTATCAAGAAATGGGGCTTACAGAAGCTATCCATTACCTAATGAGTGAACGATTACCGGCTGCAGTAAGGCCAGGAGCTTGGGCAAATTTTATGGTTATGGGTGGTAATGCGTGTTTTCCAGGATTTGCTGAACGATTGTAAGTCTTTATTAGGTTTTATGCGAATTCAAGTAAATTTTCTACTAAATTGTCATCAATATGGCTTTTCTTCATTCCATACGGTACATATGATATGGTTCTAAAGTTAATGTTGTTATCTGTATATACTCATGAAATTTACAGCTGTCAAAAGCCAGATGAAACCATTGTTCTCAAAGTTCGGTGGAAATTTTAACTTCACTAAAGAAATTCGTTCTCATAAATAGGCGATTTTTACAAATATACTGATAAGTTACTTAAAGCACGAATTAAGTAGCCAAACGATCTTGTATTAAAATATTTTTTGATGGCCTTTGTATCGGACTAGATAACTGTTTACTCAATGTAATAAGATTGTGACAATACAAAATTTAAACTTGAAAAGCATTACAGTCAATTTAATGGAAAATATTTTAGATAGGATTATATGTTCTATTTACTTTCATTTATATATGAAAGTCAACTGCAAATACTCTTCTTCAATAGAAAAACTTATTTTCTCTTAAATAAATAAATTACCGATTGGATTTATTCTGACGAGTTCAGCCAAATGTGTTTCTTAATCTGAATAACTTATACCCTAAAAGATATTTTGTTTTAATCGTGAATTTATATCCATAAACAGATTTCTACCGACCATGCAAACGGGTTTTTAAGTAAAACATAGCTAATACTGTGATATGTGCTACTGATGTCGATGTATATAAGTAGTGTGTATCACCACTCGAAAGTAGAATGCCCGGCAGCAGAAGGTTGAGAAAATCGAAGAAAAGAGAACGAGAACAGAGTGTTTGGTATGGAAACAAGAAACAACAAAGTCTGAGACAATTGGTGGACATTTTGTAAATGAAATATCACTTTATGGTTCGCAGATTTTACTAAGAGATTCTATAATTTTGTATCCCAATACGTTTGAATACCCCCACTCGTCTTCTCGCTCATTACAGTACATTTAAAGTGTTATGATGGCGTTATAAGCATGATTTTAATATTTAATCGGAACTTAGTGTTAAAACTCTATTGCTGCTGAAAACTTTTATTGAGTTCCATTTACTTAGATTAACCTACTCTGCAGCCTAGAATTATTGTTCACTCTGGGACTCAAACACAAATGAGTGGCTATTTAGACTCAGTAGCTAATTGGATAACACGATGACGTCCTATTCTACAATAACTTGTGTTGTAATGGCTATATGGAGGCCATTTGTACAGGATGCATTTATACCAACCAAGACTGGTTAGATTTTAGTCAAAAATATCAACAATGGGATAATCCAATCCATTTCAAATTGAATTAAAGATATTAATGTTTTAAGCTAGAAATAATATCCCAAATTTCTCACTACTTAGATAGATCATAAGTGTTACTAATTAGTTCAATAGGGCTCATTGGTTTTTCAGCATTAAATTATCAACCACTGTGTTCGCTGCTGGGAAACTGTCCTTCTAGTTTATTCGTAGCAGCGGGTTACTATTACTATCCCTCACACAAAATCTGGCGTATAACCAAATACATATGCATGTACTTTTTTACATATAAAAATATAATTGTTTTGTGTTTAATAATGTAACCGGGATGTGAGTCAATCTTTGAAGCTCATTTACAGAGTCTCGTATTAGATCAAATTATACCTGCTCATGACTTGCAGTAGCTAATAAGTTTCATGTTATTAACACAGTAATTTCCTTTCTTATTAGTTGTTAGTTTGATAAAACTAATCAAACACTAATAATCACACTTTAGTGTCTTATCTTCAATTAGTAACTTCTTTTCTTTCAAACACATAATCACTTAACCATTACTTATGGAATATGTATATTTTTGCAGAAATATCTGTTGTGATTTTTCTTTTGGCCTTCATGATTTGACGTATACATCCATCCGGTTTGTTGTATTCTCTATGACATGTGTGCTAATTCATTACCTATCAATACCTAACAATACAACGTGTGCTTGTGCATAATACACGTTGTAGACAAAGTGTGCACATTTGTGTTTATCCTTTTGTGAGGTCCGACAACGTTTTGTATGTATGTGTGTTTGTATTTAAGTCTGTTTGATATCCCATGTAAAAGAAAAAGTCCTTGTGACTTTTCTATCGATCGATGAAGTAATCCGAACATGTTGCATTAAGTTTGACGCTACGCACCAAAATAGGTCGTATAAGCTTTCTCTAAAAATTCTTCATGAAACAAGTAGTGCGTTGCATTTTGCTCTCTTATGTTCATCACGTTGATTGTGGTATAATAAAATTCGAATACCTTGGCAAAGTCAATCAAATACTTAAGAATAGAACATAAACATCCAACCATGGTTACAAATAAAAGGGTATAATAATAGATAATGATATATCTCGTAAATTCCAAAATAATAATCAATACAAATACTCCCTGAAAGTAAGTGTTAACTTAATCACTAGTGACTAATCACATTGAAGCTCTTCGGGTTTTGAAAGGGTAGTTGTGGGTTTTCCAACTAGTTGCTGGCATTTACACATATGATAATTGTGATTAAATGATGGATCGATTATAACCTCAGGTGTGTTGAGTCCAATGGCCTAATAACTACCATTCTCTTTATAGGGTTTTAACTCTATTCCTCAAGACTGTCATAGATGTAAACTGCTGAAACACAAAAGATAAATAACTGGCGTTTACTACCTAAGTTCTTCAAGTATATTCTTTGTTATCCATTTATGACGAAAATCAAATTTAATTCGAACGAAAAGCATCACATATTGTTCCATGACATTCTTACCATGATGTTTCTTGTTGATACTTCTCGTCAACTGATAAGTACTGTCCTTTACGATTGAAACCAATATTAGACTTATATATCCCATCTATTTAAGATATACTAGTATATAAGTAGTAAATGTCATTTTATACGGTCATATATTTTCAAATTATAACACAATTTCCCCGTACGAGTTAATCTTTTATTTCAACATTAGTTTGGAGTTTCTCACTTGTTTATTGTTTCATCGTACGTGCAATCATACGTATTGCTTCGTTTTTTAAAAAATATATTCCGAACATTTACTACTCAAGACAGTTTCAATGAAATACACTATTATTATTTGAAAAGCAACATTAAGTTAATATTTAGTCAGTCAGTCTTCATTATCTTTTATAAATCTTATCTGGGATTATTATTATTATTATTATTATTGTTATTATTATTATTATTATATAATTAATCTTAAAAACGTTGAGAACATACTTCTAAATTATCTATGTATTGACATATTTAATTTCTGTATATTAGTTGCGTGTTACGAACACTTTACTTGTTATTAATTCTCTTTTTTTTTTAATAATAAATTCGGTTAACTTGTTTATATTCTCTTATAATTGAAATTAATTAAGACTTTGATTTCGTATACAACGACAATTAGAGTTAGCGTTTCACATGACAGTAATATATCTACAAATTAAAATATAAACTGTGAAATATGTTATTTTCACTTATGTAATGTAGTAATAAAATCATGGTATTATAATATCCCGATAAGTAAACAAATAAAATTTCTGATATTTCGTGACTTAGGATAAGTCACTTCTTTTGAAAAGAAGAAAATCTTGATGTATACATATATGTAACCGGGTTTTTTTTTGTAACAAAAAAGGAACTTGTTGGAATACTTTCTGCTGAGAATTCTATATTGTACTAAATATATAATATTGAATAAAGCTAATAACAGTAATGATATATAGTACACAAATCTAAATACTACAAGAAAATAAATCAACTGTTTGGTACAAACAAAGAGGTTGAATTATGCCAATGTTATGTCATTCAATTCAAAGGTGATTCTATGTTATATAGTGCTCTTTCTATAATATTAATTATATTTCTGTTATATATATTTCTGCATATGTTAGGAATGTTTCATCTCCAAGTAAACACCTAATAAGTGATTATTTCGTAGGTTTGAATTTCTGTTTTTCTCCGTCCAAATTTTCTCACGAGTTTTTTCATTCAAATTTCTTGCCCAACTGGTCCTCAGTTACCCAATATCTTCAAGCAACCTGAATAGCAAATTGCTGTAAGTTCTTCAACTCTAAGTGAGGTTGAAAAGGCTATAAGCAATCTAAAACGACGGAGAGCAGCAAGACCTGATGAACTAACCCCTCAGATTTTTATGGATAGTGGTCCAGTTTTAGCAGTTAGATTAACTGAGATCTTAGCTAAACTCTGAGAACTAGAAGTAATCTCATCTGACTGGTCTTCATAGATAACCGTCCCAGTCTATAAGAAAAGACAAAAATCCTCTTTTGACAATCACAGAGTAATCAGTTTAACTAATGCAGTGACTAAAATATTGACCTCAATAATACTTCGATGTCTGACTACTGCTCATGAGAAGTAAACTCGAGAAAGCCAGGCTGGTTTCTCACTTGGAAAAAGATGCATAGACAAAATTCACCTAGATTCGGACTCTATGAATTCCTCACAATTCTCCTTATTTCAAATTTAAAACAATTAGTCCCTTTGATAAATTTCGATAATGCAATAAGAAGACGTAGTTTATCAGAATTATAATAAACTACGTCTCCTTATTTCATCAATATATATTTCCTTCAAATGCATCTTCGATGCCTGATCTTTCCTGTTAACACTGATATTGTTACTACCTCTACTATTTCGGGATTCGGACTGACAATTTCATCTCTTTGTACATACGTATACGTACCAGGTTCTACGTTGTGACTAACTGACCGACTGAATTTCATTTTCAACGTGATAATAACATGCTGTTTTCCATTTACCTCTCAGTTCTTTTCATGTGTTAATCTTTCACCCTATTTGAAGAGTTATTGTAAATGTACACATGTACTGTTTCGTTGAATCAGTCTTCTTTGGTGTCTACTAATCCATCCTCTTCATAAGATTTGTTTTTTGGGGAGTAGCCGACATTAGAAAAGAAAGGCAGTTGTGAAATGCAAGTAGCGAAGCGTAGCTAGTAGCTATTCATCTTTTCTCTTAATATCCCACCATAGATGAAATATCCGGAATTGTATTTGCAGAAAGTTCTTAAAATTTATTTATTTAAACTTGTTTTTACTGATAGTCCCATACACAACGTAAAACCTGGCAATTTTTTAGTTTGAAGCGAATTTGTAGATTGACCATATCATACTATCAAACATGAATTATTGAATTGGTTTAGGAAACTTTACTGAAGCACACAGTTGGTGGAAATGTAATAATCAACTCTATTATCTGTAATGAATGAATTCATTTCTTCTTAGCATGTCCTCTTTTTTATTGCTTGTGTTGGGGTTATCAATATTAGTTTGTACAATTGTCCCATCTGGATTTTTTTTACATGAGGACACGACTTAGTTACTTTTTACCAATTACCTAAATCAATTCTTTTACAGCTCCAAACCAACTCCATACAATTTATATCTTATAGTGTTATTATTTTACATACAAAGGGTGTGGTTTAGTAGATTGAGTCACTTAGCTTTCTACCATTAAATTCCAAGTTCTATTTTCTTTTTATCTACTCAAGTGTTTAAGCAGTTAAGTAGTGTCATTAACTTTTCTATTCATAAAACAAAATATACAAATTTCTATTTGATAAATAAGTTACATTAAGTTCAAATTTTAAGATGTAACTTCATTATTACTAATTTGTTATTACCTTATTTCATTAATTTGTTTAGTCTAAATAATTTCATGTATTTCTATCATTTGTACAACCTTATTTTATCAAGTTAATATTAATGAATAAGGTCAATCATTCAGACTGTTTTTTTGTGTCCGAGAAATTCATTACTAACAAAAGTTGTTTGTTTTGTTTTTTTGTTCAAACAAAAATCATGATAAACTTTTCATAAAGTAGTAATGTGTTCATAATTTCAAACTAATAAATTAAATTATCAGAATGGGTTTTGTGGAGATTTTTAGAAATGTCACTTGTTGAAATCATGAGTCAATTGAAGTTAGACCACCATGGAAAACCTGGAAGCACTGGACGACCGTTTTGTCCTAGTATGGGACTCCTCGGCAGTGCGCATCCACGGTCTCGCACCCCGCGGGATTTGAACCCAAAAACTCTCAGTCTCGCGTCCAGTGCTTCCAGGTTTTCCATGGTGGTCTAGCTTCAATTGACTCATGATTTCAACAAGTGTAATAAATTAAATGTTCATTTGATTGTTTGCTTTTATCTATTAGTTTATTTGTTGGTTTTAGATCATAAAATTTCTGTATTTTGAGCTATTTGTTTAAATTTGATTTTACATATTTTATTCAATATAAGTAGAATTCTTATTAGTTTACTTTCTTTTGAGAATATCATGTAATTGTTTGTTTAAATTGAATTTAATTAGATCAACTAATTACAATTATCTTTTATTTCACATAGAAATTATTTTATCTGTCTAACAGGCAATTAATTGTTATCACACATGAAGCTTTATATTGTACAGAAGTTATAAAGTTCATTTTATAATATTTGTGGGTATATAAGAATGTAGATTCGAAAAACAGTCGCTAAGTTTTTAGTTGAATAATTGATAACTTTACGACAATAATGTATGTGTATTATCTATTTGCTTATTTGGACTAGATTTACATTCTTTTGTTAATTTCTATTACAGACAAAAAGATATTCGTACTCAAGCACCTGATGATCTCCCAGTAAATGTCTTCAAACCCCCTAAGTAAGTTGTATTTTTCTTCCACTAACTCTCACTTTTAAGATAAATTCTAAAAGCTGTTTTTTATTGTATCAAAGACTATGACATGTTATTTGGAGTGTTTTCTTCGAGTGGTATTCGTTAAGAATTTATAGTCTTCCTTTTTATTGAACATACTTTTGAAAGAAATACCTTTTTCCTCGATTTTACTATAGATTCATCACTTTCTAAAAAATCTAATCAACCTCAACAACAAGAAATTAACCTTGTTGAGTGAAGGTGCTGATAAAGTATGTTTCATTTGCTTTCGGAGACTTCGTCACTTATGGTGGGTTACTGGCTAGCGAAATGTTTGTTTAAACACTTGCTTGCTTATCTCCCTCCATTTAAGCCATTTACAGTTCAAGATTATTCTAGTAATCAGCAACCAAGTCATTAGGTAGATATTTGTTTTGTTATTTCACGACTGAGACGTGACTATTAAAGTTGAGAAGTAGGCACTATTTTGTAATGTCTCTCTAAAGCACTCCTGTGCGATGGGGACCACTAGCCTCTGCTGAATGGGTTGTTTTTCACATATTTTATATACTTCTAGTCATTTCATACCGTAGCATAATGTTTTTGGCTAACATATGAACAGAATAGAAGAAAGTTTAGGACCACCAAAACAAAAAGTAGCGTCAATCCATCATGTCGCTATGAATCTGGGTCGTATAAGCTCCCTCATTCGGATCAGTGAAATACAGCTCAAAACTAATCGTTGTCCACTGTTTTAAAATGTTTTTTTTCTTTTGTCTTTCTTCCTACAGTTCTTTACTTTTGTTGCATTATCTAGACCTCCACTCATTGAACTGATGGGAAATGCGCTGATAAGGATGATCACAAACATTTTTAAAATCTGACCCTGTCTGTGGTTTTAAATAAACTCATCTAAACTTTGATTCTGACTACAATGCTCGCTGGGGGTTTTTTGGTCATCAAAAGTTGTTAGGCAATCAATAAAACATTTCTCCATTCGGGTTAATATCTTTTAACGTATCTTCGGTTTCAAAATAACTTCTTTCCCAATACAGACTTGAACCCTCAGCTTTATGTCATTGGGCTCAGCGAATATACTGTGCATTTTTTACTGGATAAAACGACTAATTTCTAAACCTAACCCAGTAAACATTCTTGTGCACTAGGTTACATATTTTTTATGATGGACGTTATGACTAGTTAAGTTTAGTGCCTTTTCACAATAATTACCTGTATTTAACAATTTCTTTTTTTGCTACTTTCGTTTTCCTACACCAACAATAGTCCTCAAACCTACGCTTGGGAAGGTGGTGTTTTGTTTTGTCAAAATTCAGATTCATTCAATCATTTCTTAGTTACGCGCAAAGAATATGAAGAGCAAGGATCTAGTTATTGTGAAAAACGATTCCCTATTTCTTGAATTAATATTAATATTTATGCTTTTGTACAATGAGACAAAGAATATGTATAAATTTATTCAATATATATAGGAATAATAATGGTAACAACACATTATTTCGTTCTTGTGTCATAATCATCAGTATTCGTAGTAAACCATTTTGCTAAGCAAAACCGAATAAAAGTTTGTTTAAAATTATAATGAAATTAAGAAATTCCAGTTCTAAGAAATAAAACAGAACTGAGAATATCATTGTTCGTTTCAAGAGAAAAGAAAAAAAACAGAAATAATAATTCACAAATAAAATAAACATTATCATGCAAGTTCTGTTTTGCGCGTACATCAAGTGAGAGAGAGAGAGAAAGTATAAACACACATCAGTTCTGAGTATAGTACATACAACATGAGAAAATAGCATAATTCCTTGATAACAGTTGTGTAAAAAGTTCTCGGATTTTCGAACTAGTCATTAATAATATAATTGAATAGTAGTCGTGGTGGGAGCAGATAAAAAATGTAAGAATAATGATGTGACTTGCAGGAATCCTATCAGTTAAAAATAGTAAACGACAAATGTTTACATACAGCTTTTCTTCAGAAAAGTAATTAAAATATATGTATGATGCAACAATTATAGTTATAAATTATTAATTAAACAATTAAGACTGTCCTTATCATTATTAAATAAGTGACAGAGATTATTCTATAAATCATGATATGATACAATAGAATTATGGTCATCTCGGGGAAAACAGATACTTATTATACTTACCAGGCATGTGTAAATAAACCACTGAGCGTTTAAACAAAAAAAAGTAAATGTAAGAAAAAATCACTAGGCAAATTGATCTATTTTATGTTGCATAAACTGTACAGATTTATCTATCTTACAGCGTGAACAAACGAATGCTCCATGTTGTTTGTTGTACATTTGTACGTTTATTCGTTAAACAACAAATAATGATTATAGAAAGAGAATTAAACATTATATCGTTCATGTATTCGGTACATAAATTGCAATATTAGCACTCATGCGTTGTTTAGAATTAGAATAAATGAGAAAAGACAAGTGTAGAAATTTGAAGAAAAACAAACAAGGAAGACAATCAAACATAATTATTCTATACGTAAGGAAGGATAAGATTAACAATGAAATGATTATTACAAAGAAAAGTATGGAAAGTTGGCTAGAAGTAGAAATACCGTCCAATTCATTGTATATATCTTCTTGAAATTGTATTATTAAAATTTGAATAATAAAATGTAATACAACATTAATTAACAATTAGTAAAAGTGAATATTTTCTCTTATTGCACTTTAAATGCATCTCATTATAATCACTTATCAAAATTATTAATTAATCCTTCATTTGAAAATTACAAATTAAGACCATACAAATAAAAAGAAATTGAAACACTAATATATAATAATTGAATAAATATTACAAATATAAAATATATTGTTATGTCATTTTACAAGAAATAATTATTAAATTAAAAATAATCATGATAAATGACTAACTTGATCTTGATTCTTTTTTTTTCTCAATTGTTCTATCTTTTACACTTAAGGAACTAAAAATTACTAAATATGAGATAATTATTATTGTATAATGTATATTACATGTATCATTAATTCAAAGAAGAATCCAATTAATGCGAGGTACCATTAAATTATTATGTATTATTTTAGTTATAACGATCTTTTGCATAAAATAATTATTCACAACAATAATAAGTTATGTTAAAGAGGTGTAAATTGTAATCCATATAGTACCAGATGGTATGTGTATAAAATCGAAATTTCACAGTATGCTGTGGGCTTGATTAACAATTAATACAATATTCTTTTCCCTTTTTTTTAAAAAAAAAAAAAGAAAGACTATTTCGAGAGAAAAAAGCTGGATGGTGAAAGTATCCATCTACTTCACTATGTGTTTATGTGTGTAATTCATCAAAATAAAAATCTTCCTGGTGTAATTTGAGCATTTCGATAAGTTTCAGCTAAATAAGCAGCTTTTGGATCATTTTTTTCTGAATGTGTAGTATTATTATATAAGGTTAAATCTCCTCTCTGTGATAATTGTTCATTTAATTGTCCTGAATGCTGATGATGATTGTAAGAACGATTAGTTTGATTAAATAAATTTTGATAGTTTATATGTGCACTTGGTGGTTGTTGTGAAATGATTGAATGTTGACGATTTATAACTTGTGCTTGTTGTTGATATTGATGGTATGCATAAGCGGCAGCGGCTGCCGCTTCAGCTGCTGCTAAATTAGATACTTCATTAATCGAATGAACTAACTGACTAGCATTATTTGACTGAGATTGTTCTATAGATTTAGATAAAGCATTATGCATGATATTTGTTGTTTGATGTAAATGAGACGAGTAAAATGGATTAATGCTACTATCAAGCACATTTGTAGCACCGGGATTATGTTCTGTATAATTTGTATTCGAATATTCACTAGTTGAATTATTATTACTAGAAAACATATATTCATTCAGTAATCGGTTGTTAGATGGTACTGATAACTGTGTATTGTACTGATTATTCCCAGTTGAATGATGACGAGACTGATTTTGAGTACATGATGACCCAGTTGGGTTGAATTGATTATTACGTAAATTTTCTGAATGGGCTTCTTGGAGCATAGATGAAACAGGTAACCCACCAATAGTTTGACTATCACATCGACCTGTAAGTATGAGAAAAATTAGTTGATGATACCACTAATTAGCCCAAACTACTTATTAATGCAACTACATAAAGCGTAAACTACTTACCGTATTAAGAATCTTTGAATAAGCTTGAACCGAACTTAATTAAAACTTCTATTTATTTTCAAAGTTTTATGCTTAGTTTTCAAACTGTTTGATAAAAGCTTTGATTAAAATTTTTTATGGGGAATGTATGTTTAAAGTAATCTTAATAAAACTTAATTTCATGGAAAGATGAAACAATTATTCTGATCATGTAAGTAAGTAGATTCCTTTTAAATACGAACAATAATGATAAACATTATCTCAAAAACATCTTTTGTTTGTAAGATATAATGAGATGGATTAGGAAATCCAATGGAAGAGATATAGTATTCAGGCTATTTTCATAAAAAAGTAAATATATATTTAAAAAATGCTTATGAAGCTCTGGTTTAATTGATAACTTGTGTTGAGTGAAAAAGTCAAACTCCGGTGCCAAAGTGCCAGAGTACGAATTATAAATCCAGTATTTTCTATGAATTACCACTAGCCAGCCATGAAAATTAATTTGTTTTGTATATCGTTCAAATTATTCACCTGCTTTCGGGAGTCTTGTTTAACTTATATGAAAGCATGAATAATTCAGACAAATTCGCACACAATTTTCAAAGTCGAACAAAAATACAATATAGAGTTATTTGCAAATTGTTTTGATAAACTAAATATATCACTACTATGTATCAAGTCACTCTGTACAGGTTTAAAACAATTCATTTACTAACAGTTATTGCATAGTAAACAATTAAGGCCGAAAAATACACAAAACTCTCTCGAGCTAATCAGGTCATCTATTTGAAAACAGTTAGAAAACCCTAGATAGAATACTACAATCATAAATATAGACTAGACAACACTAATGATCCCATTGCAACTTACAGAAAAACACGGATATTCATAAAACTTATCGATAGCACTCTGGAATCCTTCATACAAATTTTGACAGAACAAGTCGAAAAAAGTAATGAATTCTCCGAATATACAGACTAATATAACGAGAAGAATTCCAAAGTCATTAGCTATGGTGTAACCACGACTCTCTTCTTTGAACAGTTAGTTATACAATATCGGGTACGACAGTTTTAGTAATATTATGTTGATGGTAGAATATAAGTTTCATTTTCCTAACATTTAAAATTAAATTAGCTAGTGAGTGGTTTTTTCTTCTGACATCCCACTCAATTTAAACATAAGGTTCGATTTCATAAGTTAATTTTGATTCAGTCATCTCACTCAAGTGATATTTCATTTTGTATTCCTCACAATTTCCCCATACCAAAATCAATTAATTTTTCAAAACATAGAAACTAACAGTATAAAAGAGTTCACTTTTTTACGATACATCTTGTTATTTTTTTCAAAAGTTTAAGTTACTGCAAACCTATCCTTGGATATTAAGTAGCCCAAATTAAAATACATTTTCTCATTCTTGTATTCACTGTTGAAATTATAAAATAAAACTATGTAAAATAAGGTATAAAATCTTTATCTTGCATAATCCAGGGTGTGTGGGTTGTTCCTTTCCAAAATAATTCACATTTGTTGTAATACATATGTCTCATCTCTTTTTTCTATCGTTCAAAGCATACCCGGATTTCTTCAGACGTCAGGTTATTCAAAAGCCTCAGAAACTATTAGAAATTACATGTCAGAAACTTATGGGCGATCACTGCTGAATGTCAAGGTAATTTCTGCAATACAGTAGCAATTCATTGATCGATTAGTAACTGAATAATTATAAGCTACCAAGGCGAGATTGACTTTAGATGATAGACCTTTAAGTACAATCCTACTACCTGTATATTTAGTTCTCTCCAACTAATAATCGCAAAAGTCCGATTTCTGTGTGTATTTGACAGACTACGAATTTTGTTAATGTTATTGGCACATTTGATTTGTTCTCCGTGTAAGGAAATCCTCCTAGTAATAAGTAGAAACACCTAAATAAGAGGGTATCAGACTAAATTTGAGCGGAATTCATAAGAGATTTGGGCAAATAGTGGTAAAAAGCTATCTGATTATTTCATACTGTTTCTCATCCAGCTTAATATGTACATTTTTATCTTCCCTTATTTTAACAGTGAAACACTTAATAAAATTAGTACAAGGTTTTATAGTTACATACACACCACATCAGATCAATTGTCAAACTGTCAACAACAAAAAACAATGTTCTTCAATGCACTAATAAATCAGGTCATTATTATCAAAAAAATCCAGGAGTGCAAATCTCTGTTTAAAAATTCAGTAGTAAAAATAAACCCAAATGCATTTCGGTGATTTCAATTGTACGTACATAAGTGTACTAAGCTGAGCCAAATCCGATGGAAAAAATTAACAAAATTATGATATCGAAGTAAAAGGTAAAATGTTGAACACAAAAAGCAATGACCAAAAACTAGTAGAAAACAGGTTACTTAAATGTTTAGAAACAAAATGTGCTGTTCTTGACACTCAAACTTATCAAAAATGCATGAACTGACCTTCAAATTTACTGAATGACAGATTTACCAGTCGTAACGTCTAGAACTCGACTGTTGAACTAAGTGGATTTGAAGCTTCTCAAGGTTGAAGAGATAACTTGTACTATATAAAAAGCACAGAACCTAAGACCTTAACGTTGTACGTATTAATTTTGTAGTTCAATGAGAAACCTACTCATTCCAGATATATCCAACAAACTTGTTTAACAAAACCAAGGTGTGGATTAAATCCAGAATATTCTGAGCATCTTAACCAACAATACAAGTATGTGTCGAATGCGATTCTCTCCCTCAAAATCCAAATCATGCTTCAGAATTGGCTTGCGTCAGCGCCTGAATTATTGATAGGAATCAAAGTAGTTGAACGCATCAACCGCTTAACTTGTCTCTGAATCTCATCACTCCTGATAGTCTAGTGTCTGACGAAATCTCGACATGGAGTCAGGAAGATCAATCGGCTTCTTCCAACCTGTGCCACTTGTGGTGTACGAGAGATATCTGTCCCTCAACCAAAGGAAGATCCTACTGAACAGCAATTCGCTCCGTTCGAATTTGTGGGTGTGAAACATGGACATTAAGAATTAAGTATTCGATCGTAGTATCTTCGAAGCATTGATCGTGTATCTTGGAATCACGGAGTGAGCAATACCTGAGTATACAATACGGTATTAGGTAAGGATGGGAGATCAATCGATGAGTTAGTCAATCTTCATCAACAGAAGTGACTGGGTATTCGTAACACATGTCCCAAACATCACTTACATCGATGGACGATGTTGTGTGTTGTTGGGACTAGATAGGTAGAAAACGAGTAGGGACGGTCAAACCCAAACATCTCATCAGTCCATGAAGTCACTGACAGTTGGATTAAGCCATATTAACATGTGTAGACCACCTTGTTGGGGTCTGTGTAATTATCGAAACCAATGTTCAGAGACTTTGAATGACGTGACCCAGAATCGTTTGCAGTAGTTCAGCTTCCTACGTTCTCTGTTTTCTCCTAGATTCGGACCCTCTGAATTCCTCATAATTCTCCTTATTTCATCAATATATATTCTCTTCAAATGCGTCTTCTATGCCTGTTCTTTCCTGTTAACACTGATATTGTTAATACCTCTACTATTTCGGGATTCGGACTGACAATTTCATCTCTTTGTACATACATATACGTACCAGGTTCTACGTCGTGACTAACTGACCCACTGAATTTCATTTTCAACGTGATAATAACATGCTGTTTTCCATTTACCTCTCAGTTCTTTTCATGTGTTAATCTTTCACCCTATTTGTAAATGTACACATGTACTGTTTCGTTGAATCAGTCTTCTTTGGTGTCTACCAATCCATCCTCTTCATAAGATTTGTTTTTTGCGGAGTAGCCAACGTTAGATAAGAAAGGCAGTTGTGAAATGCAAGTAGCGAAGCATAGCTAGTAGCTATTCATCTTTTCTCTTAATATCCCACCATAGATGAAACATCCGAAATTTTATTTGCATGAAATCCCTAAAATGTGTTTATTCAGCCTCATGTTTTGTATGTGGGCTTGGATGCTGACCCGGTGCCCAAACTGAACCAAGTGTTTTTCTTAGGAAGGCCGCTACCGAGCCTCGGTCACAGATGTTTAATCTACAAAGCACTGAAGTAATGTTGAGGGATAAGTTGATATGCTTTCCGGCGACCGAGAATTGGTCTATACGTCATTAGTTCCTTCAGAATCCTGAAGTCCATATGTACTATTGCAAATAATGCATATACGTGTTACAAACGTTCAACTGCATGAGCACATGTATACTATTCATAAAAGCGATTCCTACTTATATTTTCTCAATGAAGAAAAAGCTTAATGCTTTAAAGAATATAAATTCACTGACAATGATAAATAACTTATGAAATCAGTCATAACACTTCATCTTTTCCTATTATTTAAAACATCAGGAGTTATAACTAACCATGAAATAAAAACCGTATGATTTTTTAATTAAATTAGAAAATATAACAATAAAGACATAAAAATCAATAGTAGGTGAATAAATAAAACAACAACTGTTTTTTGAATCAACTAATTAGTTAAACAGAAAAAAACAATGAATACCCTTATTTATCATTAACATGAATCAAAAAGAAAAACATAATACTGATTAGAAAATTCTTAATTTAAATGTGTTAGAGTTTAAGAATAAAAGTGCATTCTAATTCACCTTGTAAGGTCATTCCCACAAAATTCTTTAAGTAACTGAAGTCTACAGACAAAAATGAAACATGTAGACAGTATGTTTATTGAGATTCATCGGTAAGGTATGTTTATCTATCTGGAGGAAACTAAGGTTATTTGAACTCAACGATACAGTCGAAAATGTTCTTGTTAAACTATTTAAATCCTATAAGAATCTATGAGAAACTGATATTCTATGATTTAATTAAGAGGTTAAAATATGCTCGTTGATCAATAGACCTTT